ATACATGGCTTTGACCCTAGCCACTCAAGAAGCTATATTCGTCAGAAACTTGTTGAATGAGATTTGCCCAGATAGTTCCAAGACAATCACAATTTTTTGTGATAATAAGGGCGCAGTGGACCTCAGCAAAAATGCGGGATATCGACCACGAAGCAAGCATATAGATATCAAGCACCACTTCGTCCGTGAAAGGCAAAAGCTAGGAGATATCAAGGTGGAAATAATCGGGACCGAAGATATGCTTGCAGATTGTTCAACCAAGGGACTTGTTGGCGACAAACTGTCTTCCAATTGTAATAAATTAGGATTGAAGTAATATTACATAAAGTGGGGGTGTTGGAGAAATCAGTTATGTAATATGTACTGTATATAAAACAAGAGACTGTTTATTTTAGTTGCTAATAAATAACGTTCATCCCAAGTTGTGCTTTTTATATCAGAAGATATATTTTAGATTTTACCATAATATTAGCAATCCTGAAACACTCTGCTAACAATGATCCATAACAACCCAATTCAACCATATTTAACCAGCAATCATTTTACTGGTCAATGTTGGTCAATGTATCTAAATATTTGTATTATCCGATTCATAGTTTTGTTTTTCAAATTATCTTCGCACATGACATCAGTGGGGTCGCAGAAACTTAGAGGGGATGAAATACAAATAGAGTAAAGAGCCTTAATATTATTGTTGATTTTGAAAAAACTTTGTAATTTGTTTCTGTTGATAGTGATTTCAAACAAAAGAAAGTTGAAAATGAGTGTACAATTACAAATTGTAAAAAGTCCCAAAGAAGGCTGGTATAAAATAATACATATCAATCAATATCGATGAAATACGTTTTCAACTATTCAAGAAAGAGAGATATGCCATCAGATAAAATGTTTGACAAAACAATGATATCTCGAAATTCGTACCTAATCAATAAATTCACCTGACAGCACGATGTTTTATATGGAATTTTGTGTTGATCAGCAAAATTGATATCGTTTAATTGGAACAGAGAATTCAGCAGAAATGTAATGTAACAAGTGTATGTGATAAATATTAATAAAGTTTCTTCAATAAGCGACAGGAATAAATCATAGAATATAATAATTGATACATATTCATGCTAACCTCGTAGAGGGTGTATGTCAATTGTATTTTATTTAACCTAACAATATTATGCTTGTGAAATTCATCAATACTAAATACTGCTTTGAGTTCCTTGTAACAAAATATATTTTCACCAACTTTAGTGGAATAAATAATAGTTTGACCTACCACCAGCTGTCTTATTTGCGAAACTAAAGTCGGTATATTGTATTTTATTTAGCGTAATCTTATCCTAGTATTTTGTTTATAATGATTTGGTGTGAAATTTTCTTAGCGAATACTACTGTAGCTTCAATTAAAAGCAGACATTTTTTCTCGAACACGAATATTTAGAAAATTCTTCTTCGAATAAAGTTCCAATAATAATTGAAGCTCTAGTGGTGTGAAAATTTCCTGCTCACGTGAAAATTTAATGATATTAATTAATTATTTGAGTTCGTTTGATTGAATATAACAGTTGGAACAGCATTATACTGAAAATAGATTCCATGGGCTGTTCTCTTCATTATATGTTGCTATGAAAACAATTCGATTGACAATTTTGAAGTTTCATATATTCAATAAATTCAGTATGTCAAGATTAGGTTGAAATCCTGACCAGAATATTCGAATCAAATGTGAATGTACCAATGTTAGATTATGATCACAATTTAATAAACACGAACACTACCACACAATATAATATGGACATGGGGTAGCATGCTTGCTCGAAGTTCGACTCCTCGTCGAACACTGAGGAACCAGCATTTGCACATGTCTGTGATAGCCGGTTCGTGACATAATCACATTCCACTGCGAGCAGTAGCGTACCTGATTGCTAGACGCCAACAACCAACAAGTTTCCTTTTTTTAAACTTTTTGCTTTTATTGGCAACCTACGTTGACTAGTAAATAATAATTACATAACAACATAACCCCTGTGATAACATCAGCTATTCAAAATTGTGGTTTTATTTCAAGAAAAAAACTCATGAACGACCTAATCTTTGAGATATCGTGTGTCAAAGTTGAAGGAAAATAAATAGTTTTATCCGAAGTTGTATCCAATTACTAGCAATGAACTCAATATAAACAACTGGAAGGGACCCTCTGTGAACGACGAGTGAGGCAAAAATATTGTTCAGGCAACCCGCGGTGTTTACGGATACCTATCTCTTTCTATCTTATGTTGGCTAATCGGAAGCGCTCGCATTATTTGAAATATTTTCTCGTTTTTTGCTTTTATTCAAGAGTAAACGTGATTAAATATAAATATTCATTTAGGAAAAAGGATAATGTTGCAATCAGTTATCATTAAAAAATTATTATCAATTTTTTATTGACTTAAAAATTAAATTTCATTTTTATTTTTACGAGATTAGGAAGTCAAATGAATACAAAATTGAAATTATATATTTTCATTCAAATGTCACAATACCGGGTGACACAGGTTATCGGGCCACCCCTGTAACTCCTGCATTCGTCTACGGATTTTTCTGAAATTCGGTACAGTTATATAAGCAACTATTTCGGATTTGATCACATTACAATCCAATATGGCGGACTTCCGGTTTTTCTGGAAATGCCAGCAATTTTGTTTTTTCAAATGGAACACCCTGTATATTTTTACATATTCAAGTTCAACAGGTCAAAACAAGTGCAATCTTGATGTCAAACGTCATTTATTTCACAGCCTACCTAGTTGAAAAATTATTCTTACTGCAAGGAAATTCATAAACTAGTTGTTGATTTTTGAATGTATACATTTTGTTACTGCACCGAAAAACAAAAACGATATGTCATTTTGTTCCTTAATGTATGTTCTAGAGAGACGGGTAGGTGGCCCATAGGGGTTCCATTTGAAAAAAAATATTTTTTTATCAAAAAGTGATGTGGCTGAATTGATTCCTGGATAAGTGACACAAAAAATAATTTTTCAGAAAAAAATATGTTCTTCTGTTATGTGTGACTCATTGTGAATAGTCTTGACCACATCTCATTTATCCACGAGGTAAAATGAAAAAACAATTTTGATTTTAATTTTTTCGAAAAAATCACATTTGAAATAGAGATTGCTTTTGTTTCGACCTGTTGAACTTGAATATGTAAAAATATACAGGGTGTTTCATTCGAAAAACAAAGTTGCTGGCATTTCCAGAAATACCGGAAGTCCACCATATTGGATTGTAATGTGATCAAATCCGAAATAATGACTTATATAACTGTACCGAATTTCAGAAAAATCCGTTGACGAATGCAGAAGTTACAGGGGTGGCCCGATACCCTGTGTCACCCGGTATATTGTACAGGGTGAGCGAAGCATAATGTCTCAGCACTATCAGAAGAAAAAGAAAAACGATAGAAAAAATTTGAAAAGAGGTTCTTGAATGGTATTGAGTACCTAAGGTCCATTTTGAGCACAATTTCCATAGGTCCCTATTTTTCCATCAGGTCACTGCCTACAAACATATCCCTATTAGAAATTTAAAAAATACAATTTTCAATACAATATCTTTTTCCAATGGAACAGTTTGGGTTTCTTTATTGATGAACTTCGAAACTTGGGAGCTGGAAGTCGTAGGCAAATCAAAGTCCATAATATGAGAAACATCTTCCTTAGGACCCAAGTTATGAACGTCCGCAGATGCATCCTGAAAATAAATTACTAGCTAGATTTTAATTTGAAGAGGTGCAAAGATACTTTTTTTTTCATAATTAATCAACAAGGTACCTATATCTTTTCTTATTTTCCTAGGAGGATCAGCATTTTTTGGTAACAAATGCTTAGGAAATGAAAATATACTGGGTACAGCATCTGGTTTCAATAACCTAGCAGTACCTGGTATGTCAACATAAATAATCAGTTGACAGGAAATGCTTTCCACAAACGCTTGCTGGTTTTGGATGGAGTCCAATTCTCTCTATGAACTGCCTTAATCCATAATTCAAGAATGTCTGAATGGAAAACTGCAACAAATAATATCACTCAATATGTTTATGGAAAAGTCATGGAAGTATTTAACTTTAACAAATAATATAGGTATAGTTTTTGAACATATTCTGAGACTAGGAACATTGTACACCTAACTGATGATCATTTCAAGAAATATATTTTCGAAAAATCGGAGTAATCAACTTACCCATGGAATGATAATTTCCTTTTGTCTTGCTCGTTCTTGCATCCAAAGGCGACACAATAAATCACCATTGTTTATCAATATGAAATCACAAACCTTCTCAACAATCAGTTCACAGTGTTCACACCAACAAATTCAGTCCTTTTGATAAAACAAAACACGCCAATATGATATTTCACATAACCAAAGACAATGATCTTATGTCTTCACTTTCTTGCCTGTTTAGACGAGAGAAAAAATCTAAAGTACTTTAATTATTAGATAAAAGGAAACGTGAACACAAATGCACCATTAAACAACACGAGTAGGAAAGATACAGGTTACCGTAATTCATGCTATCTTTGTTGCAGCTGCCCCTGACACACTTTGTGCTATTCTAGAGAACGGCCGTCTCCCTTCCAGGTGTTTATATTGAGTTCATTGACTACTAGGCAACCGCTCAAAAAATTTACAAAAATCAAGAGTAGTCCGAAGAATTGGTGAGATTCTGAGGGCAGATGAAATAATGATAATATTTAGTCAATCGGATTTTCAGTGGCGCGGGATATCATTTTTTGTATATTGCTAAAAATTGAGCAACGAAGGAGTTTTTGCTAATAAATATATGGGCTGTTCTTTGTTTGTTTGTTTATAAGATACTGAACCGCAAGAGAAAAAAGTGTACTCGAAGGAAAACTAGGAAAACTCGAGGTGTAATGCAATACACTCGTGGAAAAACGTATAATTTCTAGGAATCTTTTTACCACACATATTTTACTATAAAATATTGTTATTCTTTACAGATCAAGTGTCATCCAACAGAAAATACTAGCCTTGAACAGCATAGCCAACATTCTTGCATTAAATTCCACAGGCGTTTATGATGAAATCTTGGACATTCCCATTGAACAAATATTTTTTGTTGTCCGTTTTTGTCTAGACGATAATACACCAACAGTGTTGAACGCCAGTATCAAAGCAATGAGAAACCTAGTTTTCTCCCAGATCGATGAAACTTGCTTGGATGGTCTTCTAGGATTCGGCCTAGGCTTAATTCATCCAACACTTGCAATTGATAATGACATGGAAGATGATAACACTGTAAATGATCAGCAATTGGCAGAAAGAAATGTAATGAAGTGTTTAGTTAGAACTGAGATAGTGACCAGAATTAAGTAAGTTTATATTCTACACTTATGTAAAATACCTCATTTAAAATTAAGTTGACTCATATTCGATTACCTCAAAAGATGCTCAAAAGGTTTCCATAGCAACAATAAAGATGCCTGCAAACACATGTGTACTACCAGTTAAAAACTTCAAATTTCACATCGATAATTTTCTGAATTCATTTAAATGTGATATCTTCTCAATATTGAATCGTTTTTCCTGTCACAGAAAAAAAATAGCTTATTATACACAGCCTACACGGGAAAACATTAGATTTTAGCTCTCGGTTTTTTGTATCCCTCTGCTACGCGTCGGGAGACAACAAAACCTCGTATAAAAAATAACTATTTTTCACACCTTTGGATAGCCTAAAAGCTATGAGCTATTACACACTTCTCTTTTCGAATGTTTCTTTTACAAAAATTTACACTTTCATATTGAATATTAATAATGAAACAGAAAATGTCCATTTTCGAAAAGGAAACATTGGAAAACAAAAATTTGTGATAGCTCGTTGCTTTTGGAATATCCAAAGATGTGAAAAAATTAGATGAAATATTTAGGTCCGTATTAAAAAGATAAGTTGAAAAACGAAACATCGGATTTCAGATTTGAATACGCCAACTTGTGAAAAAAAAGTCGCCGTGATAAAGTATCATTCATTTCGATTAATTCCTTCACAAGAGATAAAAACGGTTTTTGGAAATTCTGGTATTTTTCGTATATCTCCGAAAGTATTCGGAATAAGTTTCTAAGTTTGGACATGGCAATTTGTTAGGCATTAAATTGCGCTATAATTCAACCGATTCTGTATATCTTACGGTTTACGAGATCCCAATAAAATGATGAGGCTCGAATTCCAGCCACCCTGTACCAGTGGCGGCTCGTGCACCTTTCAACAGGGGAAGCTGAATGGGAAGTGTGAATGTGAAATTCTACAAAAAAACGTTGGTAGAAGTCCATTGTAGCTCAAAGTGGAGTGATAGGGTTTGTATTCAATGAGAAAAGCACAAAGTCATCTCACGACTTTTTTATTGGAAAACATCAAATTAGGAACATGTTTAGGACATATTATGCATTGTCCATCTCCAGCATATGCTAAGAAGTCATAGAAATGAAAAGGTTACATTGAAAAAAAAACGATTAAAACGGATTTTTCAGCCTTTTGTTAAGTCTTAAAAAACCCTTTTAAAAAAAAATGTAACATAACCTTTTCATTTCCATGACTTCTTAGGAAAGGCTGGAGATGGACATTGCATATGTTCGGAACATGTTCCTAATCTGTGTTTTCAAATTAAAAAGTCGTGGAACAACAATCACTTGTACTTACTACAAAAAAATACAGAAATGGTGTAACTTTGATAGTGTTTAATAAAATTATGATTATTGAAAAGAATAAGATCTCCTCGCGAATCGCGATTCTGGCGAATGTCATTGGTCAGAGGCTGCTTTCCGGTGGATGTTGCCAAGTCGCTAATTTGTATTCTATTCTGAATACTTTTAAGTAAAAGAAGCGTTGCTGCCATATTATCAAATTCTACTTGATATCAGGAAATAATACCGATAAAACGAGTAAGTTAGCTATTTCGGTGTATATTTTATACAAGTATATTAAACTATTCGATGTATGAAAATTCGTGAGGAGGCTCAGCTTCCGTTGCCTCCTCTGAGGAGCCGCCACTGCCCTGTACAGGGTAAACTATTTGATATGAATTGAATTATAGTTCAATCAACGAACACTAAAAAAGGCTGAATAGAGGAAAAAAATCGTGTAGTCGCAAATTTTTGTATAGTGGTAAAGGGAAGTGTCATTAACAACATACTAAAAGTCCTGACCCGTATGGGATGAGCGCGATGGTGGGGGAGTGTTTGAAGGTCATTTTCTCAATCAATTCTTGAATAATTCGAAAATCGTGACCTCTAGCGGAAAAATATAGGTATACAAAATTGGACTACTTAAAATTTTCTATAAAAAAGTTTATATTCACTTGTTGTCTACAATGGATAGTTTCTGAGATACAGGGGAAACAAAAATCGAAAAGTATAAAAAATAGAGTTTACTGATATGCAATTCATGTTTGTTATGTCACTATTGTCCTGCGTTTCATGAAATGTATACCTATAGACTGCTTCTCATCAAATGATGGCTTTTACCATAAAAATAAGGACTGGTAGCATAAACTTTTCTAATGAATCAACTCAGCTAACTTTGTTCGTATCTACGTTGCCATAGATATGAATAAATTGATTACTCAATCGTCTGTCAAATACCTACTCTACCTGCAAAAGTTACCTATGAACAATGGCTGGAAAGTGTTTGATTTGTGAATGTGATGTTGTCAGCAATGTATGTAATGTTGGTGAGAAAGGGATACGTGGATTGGTGAATGCAAGTAACTTGAGGATAGATGGAAAAGCTGAAGGTTTCAAGAACAAAAAACAAGGTGTTATTCATCCATCATGCAGAAAGGAATATATCAGAGTTGACTCAATTAAAAAAACTCTGAGAGAAGCTCATTCAGAGCAACAACAACCTTCAACGTCCCAGGAATCCCTACATTTACGTTCAGCTGAAGTGAAATTTGATTTCAAAACTGACTGTCTGTTTTGTGCGGAAGCTATAGATGATGAATTCAATGAAATCCAGAAGAAAAAACCCCAACATTTACGCCGAAAGGTTTACAATGTTCGATCCTTCATCTATGATAATACGATTACAGTTCGAGCACAGGAAAGGAAGGATGAATGGGGAGACATCATCTTGAGACGTATCTGCTCAGTTGGGGATCTACACGCTGCTGATGCAAGCTATCATGAGGATTGTTATAGGAAGTTTTTCATTGCATCTGCAGCTACTACAAGAAAAAGAGGCCGCCCTGAAGATGAGGAAATTTCTGCAACAATGGAAGAGATATTCAATTATATAGAGAGAAATGACGACTGCCAGTTCTCTTTGGATGAGTTGTTGGAACAAGTTTCGGGAACAATACCATGTATGAAGACAATTAAGGAGAAAATGAGGGAGAGATATGGAGACCGCATTGTTTTCAGCACAATTCGAACAAGAAAAACTGTTGTGTGTTTTCGCAGTGCAGGTGAAAAAATTCTAAATGACAAGTGGTATTCTTCGAAGTGCAAAGATCAGCAAGCAGAACGAGAAAGAATAGTGAAAGCAGCTGCAGCTATAATTTTGGAAGATATTGAGTCGATGGCATATGACAATTCTGTTTTTCCACCAAGTGACAACTTTTGTAGTGGGTCTGAGAAAATGGTACCTCGTTTACTCCGTGTCTTTATGAACTGTATATCAGCCAAGAAAAGGGGAACACATAAAATTGAAAACAAGCTGACATCTATATCCCATGCACTCATTGCTGCCATTCGCCCTCGATCATTCGTATCTCCTATTCTACATGCTGTAGCTCTGTTCATTCACAGAAAGTTTGGATCAAAAAACTTGGTCAATCTACTTGCTGGTTTGGGATTCAGTGGAACTTATTACGAAGCTCAACAGCTCGAACTATCATCTATTTATCACATTGAAGAGCCGACCCAGAGTGGAACATTCTGTCAATATGTATTCGACAATGCAGATTTCAATATTTCTACTATCGATGGCTGGAATACTTTTCACAGCATGGGAGGCATCAAATGCATCACCCCTGCCTCAGCTCTCCCACCATCTGTAGAGGTCCAGAGGGTTAAGTCGGCTCCACCTGCTACAGAAATAGGCAACCTAGGTGTAATGGAACTTCAGACATTCGAACATCGGACAAGTAATGCATTACGGCAGATCGCTGTTCTTGACTTGAATAAGCTTAATCCAATTCCAGCTGACATGTCAACACCTACATTGCAAGATTTACTATGGATATGTGGTAAATGGCTCCAGTCAGTGCAGCCAACTACAGAAGTGCTAGCAATTCCTGAATGGAAGGGCTTTATGCAATCTGCCGGTGATATAATCAATTGTGAGAAAAGTGCAGTAATCTTCCTGCCATTCATCAATTCGCCACCAAGTGACTACAATACTGTGCACACGGCTTTACAATACGCTGCCAAAGATAGTCAACACCAAGGTGCCGCAATTTGTTTCGTTACTTTCGACCAACCATTGTACATTAAAGCTCGAGAAATTCAGTCCGGGATAATATCTGTGAGATTGGGAGGATTTCATACACTCATGTCGTTCATGGGGTGCATTGGTCACACAATGGCAGGGTCGGGACTGAAAGAAGTATTATGCCTTGTTTATGCTACAAATTCAGTTGACAAGATCCTAACTGGACATGCTTACAGCAGAGCCGTTCGAGGACATTTACTCATTCAAGCTGTCTTAACTTGGATTATTCTGGAAGGAGCTAGCATCTCAGAACAAGAAAAGAAGGGAATCATCAGCATTTTGAGTAATATCGAAGATATCACTGTACGAAAGATTGGGGAAGATCCTTGGTTAGCTTCAATTTTTCATAAATTCAAGAATCAGCTGAATAATGTCAAGGAGAATGGGCCTACCGCTGCTTTGTGGGTGCAGTATTTCAACATGGTTTCATTGATGAAGAAGTTCATAGATTCTGAGCGCCGCGGTGATTGGAATGGTCACTTGGCCTGTGTTCAGAACATGATACCATATTTTCATGCGAGCGGTCACTTTCAATATGCAAAATGTGCCCATATTTATGTGCAGGACATGCTAGCATTGAAGACTAGCAACCCAGATGTGTTCATAGATTTCGCAGATAAGGGTTATTTCACTATAAATCGAAGTGCTTCACGTTGGGCAGGAGTTTGGTCTGACATGACCATAGAACAGACTCTAATGCGCTCCATCAAAAGCTCAGGTGGCCTGACTCGAGGAAGAGGTATAACTGATTCTGTCTTAGCAAAGTGGATTGGTGGATCTCCTGGAGCAGCCGGAATCTGTACGTCATTAGAGGAATTTGCAGGAGTAACTTTTTCTAGTGGAGAGCAGCATGTTGATTTCCGGGTATCACGGCAAAATAGAGATGGACAAGACCGGGCGAAAATTCATGAATGGTTTAATGACCATTATCCTTTTCCGAAAATCAATTCACTTATGTCTTTGTCGACAGGCGTAATCGGAAACTCAAAAATAAATAGTCATCAAGCTCTAGAAATTGGTACCAAAACCATGCAAAGTTTTGTTGGCTGTAATTTCAGTGACATAAAACAGTCTAAAAAGAATGTGGTGTTGTCATTGGCTAGTATGAGCAATGCCGTGAAGGTGAACGGTGAAACAGTGACTGTAGACCCCATGACTATTTTCCAAAGAACTGTTATCGCGAAAAAAAGTGATGAAGATGTAGCACAGCTTATGGAATATGAATTGTCTCCATTCCCGATGACTCTCTTCAATGAAGGAGGAATGAGAAAAGGAAAGAAGGCTTCTCTTTACGATTCTTTTCCAGAAGACGATATTGCAACTCATGATCTCAAAACGAGTACCAATGTAATAGATGGGGGCTTCCTCCTTCACCGCGTAAAATGGAATGTGGGTACTAAGATTCTAGTACTTTGCGATCAATATATATCATATGTTCTCAAACATTACGGTGACAACTGTACTGTCGTTTTCGATGGTTATGGTGACCCCAACAATACAAAACGAGCCGAGCAAAAGAGAAGGGGTCTCACGAAAACTTCAGTCGACATACATTTTAATGATAGCATGAATGTCACTGTTCAGCAGGAACATTTTCTAGCTAATGATAAAAACAAAACTAGGCTCATACAACTCCTCAGTGAAAAAATGATAGCAAGGGGAATCGAAACAGTAGTTGCTACAGGGGATGCTGATGGCACAATAGTGAGATGTGGGTTAGAAAAAGCTGCCCTACATCCCACTGTCACAATAATAGGAGAAGATGTCGACTTGATTGTTTTATTGATTGCTTTTGCACGGCCAGGAAGTAACGTATTCTTCATGAAACCCGGCAGGGGCAAAGTGGAATCCAAATTGTTTTCAACAAACAAACTCCAAAAACTTCCTTTTGCTGAAACTATTCTCCTTCTACATGCTTTCAGTGGGTGTGACACCACCTCAGCCATCTATAATAAGAGCAAAGGTGGAATTGTCAAGCTCTTCAGCAAGTTTCCTAGGAAAATGAAGACAATATCCGACATTTTCACCAACCCCTCGACACAAGCAGACAAAGTTACACAGGCTGGCGAGAAAATATTTTTAGAAATGTACCAAGTGACTGCAGATCAACAGGATCTGAATAGACTTCGGTATGCTGCATTCTTGAATGCATCAACAAAGCCAAAACCAAATCTCGCCTCACTGCCACCAACCATAGGAGCAGCGCAACAACACTCATTCAGAGTTTATTTACAGGTATAATAATTCAATCCGATCCGTATCATGCCTCTACAATAATATTTATTGGTTATATTTCAACAGGTACAGCAATGGCTCAACAATCCTCTACCCCCGACTGAGTGGGGGTGGAACAGAGGAGAGGATGGATCGCTCATTCCAGTGACAACCAGAGATCCAATAGCACCTGAAGCGATACTGAACAGCATATTCTGCCGATGTTCTACTGGATGTGGAGGACGATGTGGTTGTCGGAAAGCTGGAATTCCATGCTCCATGGTGTGCGGCATGTGCCATGGTACGTGTACGAACGGTGCACCGTTACTGGATGTAGAAAATGACGATGAAGATGATGAATAATTGTTGATATTATTAGAACGTATTCATTCAATTATGTCTGTTCTCAATAAGTTATGTATTTTTTCTGTTAATATTCAAGTTAAACACCAATTCCATACCATTAAACTCTATTTTTGATACTTCTCGACTTTTTCATCCCCTGTATCTCAGAAACTATCCATTGTGGACAACAAGTGAATAGAAACTTTTTTATTGAAAATTTTATTTACTTCAATTTTGTATATCTATATTTTTCCGCTAGAGGTCGCGATTTTCGAATTATTCAAGAATAACTTGAGAAAATGACCTTAGTACACTCCCCCACCATCGCGCTCATCCCCTACGGGTCAGGACTTTTAGTATGTTGTTCATGGCACTTCCCCCTGCCACTCTGCAAAAATTTGCGACTACACGATTTTTTTCCTCTATTTTTCGTTCTTTTACTGAACTATTATCGAAATTCATCAACACCGGTTTTGGATTTTGTGATAATGAAAAGTAGCATAACGTTCGTTCAAAAATCTGAGACAAGTCTGAATAGCTGATGGAGAGTTATGACCAAACAATTTGTTTGACAAAATTTATCATCCGATAAGTTATTAAAGAAGAGTAGAATATATTCTCCAATGGTAATTTGAAATTCCCCTCTTTACGACTTAGAAGAAAATGTAGAATTTTCTGCCTGCCATATGAGAGACTTAAAAAACAGCGTTTCTAACAAATTATAATATTTTTTAAAAGAATGGATTGAAAATATATTATATAAATATACAGGGTGTTCAGGGTTTCAGGGCCTGATTTTTCAGGACGATTTTTTTCCTATACATTTGTGTCAGCAAACGCTTCGTTACCTATCCACAGTGCGTTGAAAGTTTCAAGATTTGTTTATTTCCCAGCACCTTTTATGAAAGTTGAGGTTCGTTAGGTTTCTTATTCTTTAGGTGATGTTTGGAAACTTGTGATTGAGATCACAAACTGAATATGTAGCGTTTTTGACGAGATAACTTCTATAGACCCGTTAGGTATTTTCTGTGATGGGAGTAGAACGGCAAACTCGCGCCACGGTCAAGTCGGTCACCGTATGCACAGCTTAAGAGAATTCACTTCTACACGACTTTCGATATAGATACATTTCAAGACCAATCAGGATGATTCTAGCTATGGCGGTGCATTCGAAATGAATTCGAATCTTTTGAGAGAAGAAAATAGGAGGTGGCCGGATTTTTACCGTCTTATCTAGCTCTGGCGCAACAATGAAGTTATTTGAGCCATTTATTTCATTTATTGCTCAAACAAAGTGTCAACATCTTGAATCCCAGATGTATTGTTTTTGCTTTTTTTGGGAATGCCATTATAAATATTGTAGTTAGTATTTTTTATTCACTATTTTTCATCGAGAAAAAACAATATGCGGAAATTGAATGCCGCAATGAAGCCTTTACACGGCCCTCACCAAAAACTTCACAGGGTGATCCCTTAATGCGTGACATACCACGAATCAACTTTTTCAAATGAAACAGTTTTTTTTTTAATATGGGGGGTGGGCCTCAGCGATGGATAACTCTGTACATAATACTGGCATGTGAACAAAAATCAAAGCCCTATAACATTTGCCGAATGGCTGAATGGTTTAAAATTCAAATTGGAAGAAAATCATGTTTTTTGAAAATGAAAATGACGCATCATAAGACGTAAATAGTGAAAAATAGTTTCACTAGACAGAAAAGCACAAGATTTAATGCCGCGGCTGGCGTTTCATAGCCAAGACTAATTCCTCTCCTCTCCATATACTACACTGTGTTTGAATTGATAATCAAATGAAGGTAAAAAATGTCGTTTGAGACAAAAACTATTGCTTGCCGTGATTAGACAAAAACTATTGCTTGCCGTGATTATTCAAAAACAAGTTATCCATCCCGAGAATATCGAATGAAATACAGATCAAGTAAGTATGTGAATCTTGAAGGTTTCCGTGATCAAAACAAAAATACTCAGCTGATATGTTCATAATTTCCATACTTAACTATAATAAGGTGTGTTTATAGCTCCAGCATGGGTATGAAATGCCAAATCTGCCGAAATCAGAAACAAATCAGGTATGCGTCCCAACACTACCAACTCAAGTTACCAGGCGTAACAATGTTGTTCATTCTTGACGTCTAGTATATCCTTTTTAGTTCCTAGGAGCTAAAGTTGAACTTTAGCTCCTAGGAACTAAATATATTGCCTAGCAACATACCTATTTTTGTGTCAGTAATAGAAACGTCAATTCAAGAGCTAATTTTGGTATCAAAATGGACGACTTTTGTGTCGGTTGCAGAAAAAAATCTTATTTTGATCTGAAAAATTAGTCTCCAAAATCTTGATACTGAATTTTGAAACACCCCAAACTGGTGGAGTGTTTATTCATTGAGTGTATCATTACCCATGAATGAAACATATACAGTGTGACCCACAACCATGAAACCCCAATTTCCGGAAAATGATATTAGGAGTCAAAATAGGTTGAATATCACTTCAGATTCGGAATCAGGACGCACAATACACTAACTATTCATATTTTTCCTGAAAATTTTTCAGTTCTGAAAAATTAAATTTTGTCGCACTTTTCACGGAAGCCCCCCCGTATCTTACGTAATTGACTTTATCTTTGGACTTTCCCTTCCTCCTGCAACTTTCAGAATCCTACCTCAATAATTACGTGAGATACGGGGGTGCTTCCATGAGAAATGGGACAAAATTTAATTTTTCTGAACTGAAAATTTCCTAGGAAAACTATGGATAGTTAGTGAAGGGTGCGTCTTGATTCCGAATCCGAAGTGATTTTCAACCTATTTTGACTCCTAATATCATTTTCCGGAAATTGGGGTGGTTCCATGACTGTTGGCGAGCAGTGTATATCACTGAAGATGACCCCACTTGGTCATAGAGTGCATTTTTGGTATATCTCTCGCTCCAGCAAATTTCAGGATCCTCACCTAACGATTACATGAAATACAGGGGTGGTTCCATTTGAAGTGGGGTCACACTGTATATATATATATTGAGTACAGAAACATCCTACCTTATTAATAATGAGTCAGAAAATATTTATTTACTTTTCAGGTATATTGCAGACAACTTATTTACAAAATTACTTGAATAGTTATTTATACATAATTTTGTGGTTTATTTGTATCACACAAATATTCACCTTTTCAATAATTAATTTCAGATATATCTTGAATACAGTGAAACCACCTCTGGAGACAATAGTTTACTGTTTGGATATCTTGATGAGGATAGCTAGAGATTCGAAATTTTTGTTTGAAAGGATACTCGAGTGTGATGGTCTCCTAGATAGTATAATTGATAACTTCGTTCCGAAAGTTATGCTAAGTAAGTAAACCCAGCAAAATTCGAAAATATCTGTAATTACCTGTTCAATTCAGGTAATGTTACCACGGCATATGGTGCCCCACTACTTCAGGCAGTGAAACTTTTGAAGATCCTGTCCTCTCGCAGTAAAAATATAGCTGTCCAATTCATCTCAAGGTAAATGGGGCTTAGATATGTAAGTTGCGAATATCTTTCTTCAATTCGGATATTGCTCAACTTATGAATATTTAGAAGATTGAATTGTTGCATATGTCCGGATTGTCTCATCAAACATATTTAATATTCACGCCTAAAACCACTAATGAAAATACAAAACAAATCAATTATAGTATATTACATAACTAGTGTGGAAAGTGACATATTTCGCGCGAGTGGACGTTTAGCACGAGTCGCAGAGCGGCGAGTGCGGAAACGAAACGAGCGCAGGAAATGCACTTTCCAACGAGTTGTGTACACTATTTTTCCTACGACCACAAATATTTATATTATATGTCATGAGTGTTTATAAGACCAGAGTAGGGATCATGTTTCTAATCATATTCGATCACCTGAAGGTGATATCATCATCATTATTATTTAATTTTACTTCAATATTCAAATGACATCATTAGTTTAACGTTAACTCAACATTAACTCAATATGAACTTAATATTAACTCAACATTAACTTAACATCAACTTAACATTCACTCAACATTAACTCAACATCAACTTAAATTTAAACTAACATTGACTTAACATCAACTTAACATTAACTCAATAATAATTATTCAACATTAAATCAAAATTAACTTGACATTACCTTAAAATCAAATTAACATCAACTCAATATCAAATTGACTTTAACTTCCCATTAATCACTAAATTGCCAATACATTTACATTAATTCAACTTTCAATTGAAATTAACTTGATTTCAACTTTTCATCAACTTAACATTACGTCAACATTAACGACAATAACTCATGTTAAATCGACACTAACTTTCCATTAACTTGACCATAACTTAACTTACCATAATTCAGGATAATAATCATTCATTGGTACATCATAATCCATAGACCCTGTTACTGTGCGATTTTCGAATATTTCCACCCATGTGAGTTTTGCTTTCTAACTTTCTAACTGTTATATGTTGTCATAGTGAAACGAGTCACTTTCTCAATAACAAATCAATATGTTTTGTGCTGTTTTCATAGGTGGTCGTAGGAAAAATGAATTTTTCATCGACATTTTCTAGAGCCAACGGTTAATTTATACAAACCTAGACATTTTCTGAACCTGATTTCGTTATATAAAGTTGAAATATGTTGTTTTATTAATTTCGCCAGGAATGAATCGAAAATATCAAATTTAACTCTTAATGAAGCTAATATAGTCCATAGTTATTTGACTAGACAATTGAATTACTTGATAGCAAGTACATTCAAGTCGAACATTGGCAAACAATCTGTATTTCACAATGGAATAATTTTATACAACTCATTACCAAATGAGTTCAAAATCAATCTTAAAAAATACTTGCTCAGGACAATTTGAATGAGAAATATGTGGCATGGTTTCATTACTCAGAAATGAAATGTTTCATCTTCAGAAACAATATTAATTTGTTTCCACTGATGGAATTCATTAATGAACCCTTTATTATATATTTTTCTATGTATTCATGTATCCCTATTATAAACAGAAATGTTTTTTGGGGTAATGAAGTCAATCAATGATTGTTTCATATATATTTTGAATCAATTCACTGGATGAATTCAAGAAATACATCGACCATCAAAAATCCCAGGCGATTTGGTCTTGGATCGATCGTTCTTGGTTTTCAATCACCATTTGGAACGGTTAATGTGGTCATCAATCAAACAGTGTGATAGTTGTGGATCTATTTTGGTTCATCATTTTTCCACTAATTTGTCATTGTATTTGTTGTTTCAAGATTGTTCTTGTATTCGGTGAATTTGGGTGTATGTGTCTGAATGATTTAAGCGTTTAGTCATACCACTTCCATCTAGGGCTCACTGAATTCCGAAGACGTAATAACGTTATACAAAGAATGAATATTGGTATTCTTTCTGCATTATGAGAATACTTTTTTTAATCAATCCAACCTAATTCGACCTAAATGAACCTTCTTCCTTAAAAGAACGCGCGAGAATTCAGAAAGCCACCGATGGAAATGGTGTAGTGAGACTCTTTTATGGCCATTCAATAACAGCACACATAATTTTTGAATCCAGCTTTCCATGGTGATGCCAAATATCGAATAATATATAGGGTTTTCCATGTGGAACAGCGCCCGAATCAAATGTGTTCGAATCTCAGTTTGGGCAAGGACATTTTTTTTATGTTTGATTTTTGAAATGTATATTGGTATTCTTTCTGCATAAGGAGAATACTTTTTTAAACAATCTAACCTAATTCGGCCTAAATGAACCATCTTCCTAAAAAGATAATATCACGTTTTGTGAGTCACGTCATGTACGCGCGAGAATTCAGAAAGCCACCGATGGAAATGGTGTAGCGAAACTCTTTTATGGCAATTCAATAAAGGCACACATAATTTTTGTATCCAGCTTTTCATGGAGATGCCACATATCGAATAATATATAGGATGTTTCATGTGGAAGAGCGCCCGACTCACGACTGCGAGGTCATGTGTTCGAATCCCAGTTTGGGCAAGGAACTTTTTTAATATTTAATTTGCGAATTAAATATTGTGAAGTTTCGGAGCATCGGCTGGGGACAGTCCTGCACGATTCACTGTAGAGTTCCAATTTATAACAATGCTGCTCCCAAAGTGGCACATAGAGTTATTAACAAAGCCTACACATTACACAGATAAATGAATGATGATGATGTGGTTGTGAGCATCAGAGAGGAAGTAGGACGGTGTATGTAGGTGGGTGTGGAAAACAACCCGCTGACCGTTAGAACTGGTCAATGCTGCTTAGTGGGCCTCCTCTAACGGGGGTTAACGAGGTAGCTGGCAGGCCTGCCACTGCAGCATATGGTAGTGAGTACATTACTAGCCTACCAAATACAACCGAAAATCTGGAAGAGAGCTGATGACCTGGAAAAGGTGTTAGCCAGCTCTCTTAAGCGAACCACAACACTCACATTAAACACATTGGGGCTTGCAAAAAGGTCCCATTGCTGACGTGCAAACGACTCCCACTTCTACCAGTACCAGTAGGGTGTTCCATTGAAAAAATGTTCGCGGACGTTATTATTCTTACGTGGATAATCCTGTATATTTAATTTTCCCTTGTTAATGTAACCATAGCTCCTGCCTACTAACTATCTAACTAGGTTGTCATCTAGAACGACAATGATGTGACAAGTTGAGATCAAATACAATAAATCAATTAGTACTTACCAAAGTGTTTCTTACTTCTTCAAAATTTGTTTTATGTAATTTCCTGATTTTACCCTGCTAAAAGATCAAGTACATGAGTTCAATAAATCAATTAGTACTTACCAAAGTGTTTCTTACTTCTTTAAAACGTATAAAAATCGTAGTTTTCATAAAATCTTGAAATCGTACACATCTTCAATCTAACTATTGCTTACTTGCACGTAAATTGTTCCATATTTTTCAGGTATAAAGTGTTAGATTCATTAGTTCTGTACTTATCAGATGATACATTCTCAGCTAATGTCAATGGATTACGATTGCAAACCGAATGTATGCATTTTATGATTCTCTTATTGCAGTATGATTTGACGGCAGATTTTCCAAGGTAAAAATACACAGCTCTTGTCATACATAAGTAAAACTATGAATATTTTTTAGCATTCTTCAGCCAATATTAGTCAAGTTGCTCGACTACCATTTTAAAAACACTAATCTCGATATGAAAACAACTTTCATCAGAAATGGACACATTGCAGCTCTACTGTTATTATTAGGAAAGGTTGTAGAGAAAAATTATTCATTTGCAGTGCCCTGCCTGTCTATTATCCTCGAGAAATGTCTACCTAAATGGTCTGCTCAATTCATGAACTTAGAAGAATATGCAGTAAGTTACTATTTTGTTGAACCTCTTTCAGGTAGTCATTTACTTCTCTCTTTATTTGCAGCGTGACTGAGTGTCGAATTATTACTTTTATTTTGTTTCAGTGTGGAAAACTACAAATGATATCAGCACTTATCAGCTGCTTGGCTGCCATCAGACAATATGAGCGAAATACTGTGACTGATGATATAATGAAGCAGATAATCGGTTCCAAGAGTTTCCTAAAAATAACGGATAAAATCAGGTGAGGTTCATTCAACATCTTCCAATATTCTGATAGATATATATACAGTGTTTTGTAGGTAATATTCATCCTCGTATTAACAGCAGTAAGAGTAAAAACAAAACTGGCAATTCCCTTATCCTTGTATATTTTGAAATCGGATCGTGATATGTATGTGTGGCCTACAAAAATCACCCTGTATGCAGGGTAAATTGAATTTGATGTTTTTCGTAGGTTTTCCAACTATATGGAAATTGAATACGTGAATAATATATGTTGAGTTGACTAGAAAGCTTAAAAAATGATAGTAGGCCTCTTTTCTATTGGTTCCTCTAGTATGTGAAGGCAAAATATTTCTGTAGAAGGATGAAACCACCAAAACACAGCGAGTTGAAACAGAAAAGGACCTCAAAAATGTTCAAACAAATATGCCTAGGAAGGAGGGCAACTAAATGTATATATGAATGCACAAAGTGCAGGTGATAAATTTGATGACATCTGCGCTGCTATGTGAAGGGCAGTGAATGTGATATTCTAGTAGTAATGTGGTTTCATGACAATGAAACAAAACTGTGTAATATTCCTGGATACATGGAGCAGGAGCGGCGTTAGGGTAGGGCGCGGTTGGGCGACCGCCCAGGGCGCCGGATGAAAAGGGGCGCCGTAAAAACCTCTATAAATTCCTCAAATTTGTCAAATCAACGTCATTAGCGCATCTCACAATCAACAGATATAGATCTCAGTAAATGCACAGAAATGTTGAAAGAATGCTGCACTTTCTCGTAAGAATATAGAAATACTAACTCTGAAATCGCTATTTTAACTGCAGAGGAATTGGCCGAAGAACTAGAAATTGAACCTAAGCTTGGACCTAATCTTAGTGCCACATGGATAATTCAATATGTTGAGCGTCAAGCTGGTGAAACTGCCCACCACGTGCCAATAGCGTCTACAGAAAAAAATCAGGTTTAATTTTTCATTCATTTCAGAATGATGAAAGTGAGATATATGGTGCGCGTATTTGGCCATTATTACGTATTGAAAATTTCAGAAAAATCACTCGACCGCCTACTATGATTTCTCTACGTCACAACGAGCGAGACGTTGATTCTACATTTTCCTGCTAGATGGTGATGGTGCTATTGCTGCTGTGACGAGTGGAAATAAAATGGCAAATGGGATTATTCAACTCTGAATTCGAAAAATCTGCGACAATATCAAAACTGACAGATTTCACAATTGTGCAATGTCGCCATCTATTAGAAGATCGACGGAACCGCAATGCTCTCGCTGTTCTCGAGATGCCGAGTCAAATTTCTGAAACAAAAGCTCATCAGTAACTACACCATATCTTAATTTCATCATTCATTTCAGTTAATGAAATATTTGAAGTTAAATGAGTACTACAAATCTTGGTACTTTTGTACAATATAAAATAAATTTCGAAACAACTCGTCCGTTGACAAGGTATATGTGATGTGATAAACTCACCTAATCAGAATTTGGTTACCCCTGCATATGTTTTGAATTTTATAAAAGATCGCAACTAAAAAGAACTTTATCAAAATGTATGATTAGCATTGCGAATATTATTGACTTCATATAGGTACCTGTAATGGTTGCTAGTTTTCAGTTTTCCTGAGCCTAATGTGATAAAAACCTATCTGCGATCGACAATATCTCAATCTAGATTGACAAACTTGACAACTTTGTCAATTGAAAATAAAATTGCTGAAAATATTGACTTTGTTGATCTAATGAAAGAGTTTGCCAATACAAAGGCTAGAAAAGTGAAATATATTAGTTTTTAGGGGGCGCCGTATAGAATTCTTGCCCAGGGCGCTGGTAGTGCTAAAACCGGCACTGACATGGAGCCCACAAGAACGAACATCGCCTTGAATAACCTCAATGAATGTATAAAACCTTTTAATTGTCTATCAGTGGCTCTGAGGGAAGCCGATAACATAAAAATATGTTTCTACCCAAATAACTAAAATGGCATTTAGCGTACGGTTATGTACCGCGCTAAATAATTGATTAATCACGGATTGACGATCAGTCATTCGAGTTCTGTCCAGCCTGTCAATTGTATGAGTTGTCAATTGTCATTTTCGACTTTTGTTTCAATCAGAATCATTCAAACAATTTCTGTTTCTATCAGAATTCTTCATTAAAAACGAATGCGAAATTTAGACGAAAGTGAAATCGAATAGAATGTTTCAGGTAAGTATACTTGTATATTCTCAAGAATTTTAGATGAAAATGAAGCTCTCATCTTTGTGGGCAGTTCATTCTATGCTAAGCATGACGATAAACGTAAAACACAATATTCATGTGAGCAAAATTATGCAATCAGAATATGGACGCAAACCTGAGAAATTGAAAACTTTGACACCTCAGCGAACCGAAGACTTTTTATCTACTGAGTCAGATGAAATCTCATTCACAAAGGTCAGTGAACCAGTCATTTCAATAAAAATGCATCTATTCTGTGGACTGGACGCACATCTACACCAATATAACTTATACGTGACTTGTTGGTTGCATGCAGTTGCAAAGTATTATGTATTAAGTTCTCAATTCCCATTCCCTTCGAATTATTTTGTAGGTTAGCAGAGAGGATATAATCTTATTATCAGAATTATGGGATCTTGTCGGAGAAGGATTATGAGTTCGTAGAAGAAGTATAGTATGTAATGCGTTTATAAACTCTCGTTTATTAAACACTCGCTCTGCTGCGCTCGTGCTTAAAATAATCGTTACTAAAATGACGTTTATAACGATCAGATTAGGATAATAAAAATGAAATAATGAAATTCATGTGTTTACGTTCCAAGACAAGCATCACGTGCTGATTTGAAACTGTTTTTCAAACTAAATTAACAATAATTAAGATCAGCTTGCGAACTATTTGAATAAAGAATTAAAAAAAAAAAAATTGGCCGAGATAAGTATGTTTTTTCTCGTAGATATTCGTTACCTATTGTGAAAAATCCACTCATGAAATGCTGTCTGCTCTCTTTCGATTTATTGAAAAACCTATCAGAAACATCGAATTTGATCTACCCTCTATTTTAGAGAGTATAGAGACCCTGAAGGTGGCCGATGGTATGTCGAACCAAATGGGTGAACTATCATTTTCTACTTCCATGGTATAGTCACGGAAAACTAAATGAAATTTTGTTTGAATAATGTATATCCCTCACCAGTGCTTTGTATTTTTCTAGGAGTGGGTCAATGCTTCTAAATAACTATGAAACACATAAATCGAGCAGTAATTTGAAGACTTTAGAAGCTGCTTCTTGGAATGCAATGGACCATATTGTACCAATCATTCAGACCAACAGTTGCATGCCATTTTTATGCGTATTGTCTCATTATGTTACTTCAATAGACAATTCAGAGGTAAAAATTTCCTGTGAAAAAAGAGTTATGTAATTTGCAGACAGTATATTTCAGGTTAAAAAGGCTTTCCTCAATCATCCAAACATTCAGGAGTATCTTAATTCTCTGCAAAAGCTCCAAAAATTTTACCTGACCAACCATTGGTTTGCAAGACCTGAAACTGCTTTTCTTATGAATGTTCTGAAATCATCCGTTTCCGTGAAGGATTCTCTGGACACTTCAATTTACTATGAACTGGCTGTGAAATCTTTATGTGTTTTCAATTCGGAACAAAAAACAGATATAGAGTTTTTATTGGCCAATATCATATTTTGTTCGAAGTTTTATCCTAGTGACATAATGATGGCACATTTGGAAATAGGTCAAATAAATGTTAATTTGGAGATATCTTTGAATAATTTGGGAGAAATTCTGGAGGTTTATACTCAAGTACTTGGATTAAAAAATGTAAGTTGTTTATAAATTCTGAATAAACGGAACACCAAAAGGGCATCCTAAATTTTAACCAGAAATAGAGCTATTTTCAAAGGTATTTAACTTCTACATATAAATGGTTCAATTTCAATGCAACTATTCAACCTTTTTTTACTTCAAAAGAATGATATCTACACGCATCTATGTGATTCTGAAATTGAGAATCGTATCTTCTCAATATTTTAACCAGAAATAGAGCTATTTTCAAAGGTATTTAACTTCTACATATAAATGGTTCAATTTCAATGCAACTATTCAACCTTTTTTTACTTCAAAAGAATAATATCTACACGCATCTATGTGATTCTGAAATTGAGAATCGTATCTTCTCAATATTTTTGCTTCATTATTATTTATTCTAACCTCTGGCTAAAATATAGGACATTGGTGACCCGACACCCAGTAGGTTTAATTTTTTTTATTCATTTGCAGAATGTACCAGATTTTAGTTCTATTTGTTCCATAGACATCAGTATTGGAAATGTGATCCCAATAGACTGGATCTACACACCAATTTTAGTTCTCTATTCAAATCAACAAGAAAATAAAACTACTCTAGATGAAGCCTTACAGATTTTCACAATAAGGAACTGCTTACGATGGATATTAATTTACGAAACTTATTTTCCATATTTAGTATCATCTATCAATCCAACTGATAGATTTTGTAGACTAGCCTGTGTATTTTTAGGCAGTGATAGTTTATTTTTGACTGAAGAGGTTCATGGTTTATTGGAGCTTTGTTTTAAAAATGTCATTACAAAGTGTGAAGAAGATTTGAATTTTGACAAGGAAATTCAAGGTTAGTACCGCTGTTTTCGACAGTTTTTTATTTCAAAATGTATATTGTTTTTAGGTTTGAGCAATTTTCAGGATTTTTATACACAACTGTTAGAGCAATACCAGGGTGTTAGTTATGGAAATATCCTATTTGGCAATGTTATTCTGGTACCTCTGGCTCAAAGGCACAATACTCAGTTTCGAAAAACTCTTTGGTCAGAGTACATGGGGGTCGTTCAGATTCTCAATGTCACACCTTCACAAGTATTTTAAAAACGATTGAATTTATTCGTGATTAATTTTGAATCTTTTAGTATCTCGGGAATAAGGATCTGTTCTTTGAACCACCTGAAGAAGACTTGTCTCTCCTAAAATGTTATAGAAGAGCTATTGTCAATAAAGTTGTTAGGCAACATACAGTATTATATGACATAGCCAACTATCACGTTGAAAAATATATCTCTAAGAAGAAAATTAATCAACAATAGATACTAGTCCTACATTTCTTGCTTTATTTAATTATTTCCTAGTAAACTATTGTAAAACAATATGACTCTGTACATTTTTTGAATTGCATAAGAAAGACATCTATAGTGTCATACAGTCATAATGACACAATGTCAAACAAACTAAACTTTCACAATTCCTTTTACATTTTTTTATATCCCGAAAACTAATAAGAAATGGCAGTGGGAATGTTCATATTCTCCCACAAGCAAAGACGAAAATTGTTTATTATATTTCTGGTACTGAATATTATCCAGATTCTCATAGGATGCGGAATGACTAGTTCATCCTTATACATCATCATTGCTGTATCTCCAATACTGCACACAGACAGGGCAGAAGTGAATTTTGCATTTGTAGTAACCGGACTGTATGGGACTCATGTAATTTTCCATTGGATAGTTGGAATCAACATTTGTAACAAATGTTTCAAGCAGGCCCATAAGTAAGTTGAAACACCCCATATTTAGTTACTGTATTCCGAATTTTATTATTCAAGTGCTGACTTTATCAAATTTATATTATACAAATTGTTCCATCAAAAATAGTTAATATATTTATCGATTCATTGATATGCTAAAATATAATAAGTTTATAAAATATACATATAGTGATATAAGTAAATGCAACAAAAATGGTTATTCATGTATCTAATACGTGAAATAGACGTTTATAAATATAACGCTGCGTGTAGGCAGGTAGACTGAGCGAAATGAGATATTTATCAACACGTTTAGGTCCTTAAAAAAATGATATTTACGCCCGGAATGAATTTCATGCACAACCGTGTGTGTTCAATAGATATAATTCAATGTTCGTCGTGGCATATAGCCAGGAAAGTAGTTGTTTTCTATTGAATAAACTGAAAAAGAGTAGATATTCTCATCACATAGAGAATGCGAATTCTCAATGAATTGCATCATTTAAATATATATCAATTTTTGTATGTCCATAATCTATCTGAGAATATTCCTTTTCAACACTTAACAGAAAAAACTTCGAAATTATTTTAACGCCCGGTTGTGCAAAAAATAAATACTGCTTTCAATCAATTGTGAGGACACATCAATGATATACCTTTGTATTGGGTAATACATATCTTCAGATATATACTATACAGAGTGTCCCCGAATAAGAATAAGAAAAAATGTTCCTATCAACGTTTGTCCGAAAATGCTAAGGGCGCTAGAGCCCTTTGAAGGTAGGTCCTTGAATGCAGATTTCTTCAATTATCGGAAAACATGATTCAATTTACAGGGAGGTGTGAATAACTCGTTTCATCTCATTTCTTCTACCAAAATATGATTCTCCAAAAACTTTTATATGAAAAAGGTATACAACAAGAAATGTTATGTGAAAGTAGAGACGGAGAGCTGGGTCGATTTTTATACTTTTAACCCCGGACGATTCTTGAGTTTTCTACAGGCATGAAAACATTTTCAAAACGGCAAGCCGACGTATTTCTTGCCGGAAGAATGTATAGTTATATATCAACCAGACGCATTTTCCCTATACCTATACCCTTTTTTCCGGATATACAGGTCATGGATCAAAACAAGCAGGGTAGGATAGGGGGTGTCATATCCAATCAAACTAACCTTACATGGTTATCTAATTGTTTATGGTTCAAAAGTTATTCAATTTCTTTCATTTCTTCCTAAAATTATGTAGTTTGTTCACTGAAAAAATTATTACAATAAAACTTTAGACAGAAACTTCAGCCACCAAAAATTTTATTATTCACTTCTACAATAAATGTTCAAAAGCTAGTAAACCGGTAATGATTCATTTCGAAAAAAAAATATTAACAAAAACGCTGTTCTGAATAACCCTATATATGATATACCATTTGGGTATCAAATGTACAATGGAAAGCAATCACAAATGTGACATAGTTTCATTGTAATTCATTTTTTAGTAAACTAAGTACATGAATTTAGGGAGAAATGGAAAACATTGAATAACTATTGAACCATCAACAATGGGATCACCACATATACGATTAGTATAATTGGAAATTACCCTCCTCCCCCAACCACCCCACTTCTTTTGATCCATGACACTCTGTATATAAAAATCACTAGATTGTCAGTATCCTGCTTCTTCCAGTGCGTGGAATGGATATAATGGATTAGGCTTGTTAGTCCGTTCAAACATTTTTTTCTCCGATTGGCAGCAAATATTAATTTTGCTGACACGTATCAATCAGCAAAGTATTACTTTTCCTGCCTAGGCAGCAAAGTGGTTACTTTGCTGATTGATATGTGTCAGCAAAATTAATAATATATAAATCGTTTATAATTTCCTTCATATTTCGTCCGATACTTCTCCGGCAACGAATTCAACTCTATATTGCTTGCCACCTCCCTTATTTCTGGAGGAGTAAGTACTTCCAGGTCGCTTTCACTGTCCATTATATAATAAATTTCCGTCGACCTCGTATTAACGACTAAGTTTAATGCATATGAAATCGTTCATTAATGACCCCTATTAATGGACGATTTGTCTATTAATGTACGATTGTTTTATAGGCAACCAAACATACACACATACAGAATCTGCATTCAAATCGAAAATATGGATTTCATCGACGATTTTCCGTTAACCAGTTCGCCTTTCCAAGTTTCTGACACGATTTTAATCCCTGTTTTCAAACACAAGGAATTTATTTCCTATGTTGATCATTCGACAAATGTCAAATGACGCTAATGTCAGTAACAAGGCTACTGGGTGATTCTTAGCAGCTTCCGGATGGATGATGAATTCGCGAACCAAGTTATCTTCATTGCAGGAGAAATGAGAAATATAGTCGACGGAAAAATTTTGTAACCAACTTGTAAATTAAAAGGCGATTAATGATCGAGATATTTTAACGTGCGAGCGAAGCGAGTGCGTTAATGTTCGAGATTAATGTACTAGTTGGATAAATAACTATCAAATATACCGATATTTTTTCGCACAACTTATGGACATTTCCATAGCAACCAATCATTCCAACAACTGCGATTTCTATCAAATTTTATTTCAATTGAACACTTCAGGAAAAATAAAGAGATTGTGGGAATTGTAATAATATGCAAATACAATATCCTCCTATATCATTATGAATAATCGGAGAAAAAATTATATGTTCAACTCGGCAGTCAATCTACTACTTTGCTGCCTAGTTAAACAAATAACTATTTTCTTCCAGGGTTGATATTACATTTCTGTCAGTATTATTCAGGGTAAGGAACTGTACATACTCCTACCACGAATAGAAGCCCCTGAGGGGAATACCTTATGACCATCAGAAAGTATCTTCTCCTCTTCTTCACTAATATACAGGGTGTCCCAAAATTGCTGGGACACAGAGCTACCACGTGTGGAGGAGGTCAAAATAAGTTGATTGGACCCAATTTATTTATGTGCCAAAATGTACTAATTGTCCGTGAGAAGGGTTCAAAGTTCACATGAAAAACACATTTTTGTACGCTGTTCAGAAATAAGTGAAACTTATTTGATGAAATTTGGCAATAGTGTATTTCAGAGGATTAATTTCTGTTTGGTAATCGAAGAAACCTAAAAAAAATGTAAAAGGGTTAAAACCGAGGTTAAAACACTCCTCACCCCCAGACACTGTTTTCAGAACTTTTTTTGGGGTCATAAAACGGTTCTGAAATTATTTGAGCTTGAATTGCCTTCATTTTTATACTCTTGTAAAAATTTTGAATACCGCATACTTTCGAAGAAAAAAAAATGTCCTCTCAAATAATGCTTCCAGATAATACAAGTTTAATTAATTTGTGATATAAAACTTAGTTGGCGGGGAAACAAAAGCAGAACGTTTCTTCATGATAAATGTTCAATATGACGCCCACCGTCATTAAAACAAATATCAATTCGACGTAAAAAATTGAAATGCACCCTCCTCAGGACATCATCGTCGTTGTCTCGTAGTGCGTCAACGGCATTTTGGATTCTGTTCCACAGCTGTTCGGAAGTATCAATTTGAACTTCATACACTTGTGTTTTTAACGCTCCCCAGATGAAGAAGTCGCACGGATTCAAATCTGGAGACCGCGGAGGCCATTGAATAGGTGCTTCTTGTCCCCTACCAATCCATCTATCAGAAAATTGTTCGTTCAGATATTGTCTTACTGCACGTGCAAAATGAGATGGTGCACCGTCGTGCATGAAGAACATGTTTCGACGAACATTGAGGGGCAAGTTCACTAATAAATCTGGCAAAATTTCTTGAAGAAAGTGAAGGTAACTACCACCTTCAAGATCAAGGCGATCTGGCAATCGGATGGGCCCAACCAAAAATGTTTCGATAAATCTGATCCAAACATTAATTTTAAATTCTCGTTGAGAGTTTCAATGGCATGTTGGTTTTCATCATCATATACAGTGTGTCCATTTAGTGCGTAATTCTTCGATATCTCGAAATCAATTATCACAAGAGAAAAACTTTTTCAGTTACTAAAGTTGCTCATTTTGAAAATATTTCCAACGATACTGGGTGTATCATAAAAGCGGGGCAACTCTAAGACGAGTTTTTTCAAATGGAACACCCAGTATTGTTCATTCGAAATTTATTCCGCTCAAATTCAGCTCTACATCGCTGTAAAAAAAATTGAATTTGGTTGCGGCGTTGCCAAGTTATAATTGATAAACCCATTCTTACTACTATTGAAGGGTCATGTTCAATTGGGTATGGTATATTTATTTATTGAAATTTCGAAAATATTTTTGGCATACAGTAGTAGCAAGGTCTCACGTATACCAATCCAGTAATCTTGCGAGATAATCCTCTACAGGGTGCTAAAATTTAAATTCTGGATATTGTAAGATTCAGACGACGATCATAAGAAATTTTCAAATGAAATACCCTGTATTTTTCATCACGGATTTATTCCAACATCATTCGCCTCTTCATCGCAGAAGAAAAAATCGAAATCGGTTGCGGCGTTTTCAAGTTATGAGTAATTTCCTTATTTTTACTACTATTTCGGGGTAATTTGTTCGTCCTGATGGTTCCTTAATTTGATTTGAGTGTGGGAATATTGCTTGCCACATGACATTCGAGGTTCTACATGGATCATTCAGGTATTTTTGTGATATGTGCATCGTTCAAATTTGAAATATTCCGTAATCTTGCTACTTATGATTCAAATAATATTTGAAACAAACAAACATGCCAAAAGCAACGCCTGTCTTCGAAATAACTTCTACAATACAAACAATGAAGATGCGTATGGCGAATATTAGGAAATTTTTTTGAAATTTGGGCCATTTTTATTGTCGTTATTCCCACAATCCAAATCTCCATTTACCTTGAAGAAGGTAAACATAATGATACAAACAATATGTCTCTACTACGCAGCTTTTGGAAGGAAATTCAGCAAAATGTCGAATCAATCCAAGATATATTTGATTGTAGCGATGTTTGACAGGTCATTA